GGTGCCCACGTCCCGCTCACCCGCCACTCACCGGGCAGCACCAGGAGCAGCAGGACTGTGCCCAGGCGCAGGTTCATGCTGCTTTGTGGGGTCTCCTGGCCGCCCCCGGCCATCCCACGATGCTCTGCTCCCCTTGTCCCGGCAGCTCTGCTCCTCCCCAGGCTCCCCCGGGGCCTGTGGCTGCTCCTCAGGCAACGGCCGTGTCCTCATTTCCCTTCTGCGAACCCCTCGGTTGGCAAGTGACCTCCTGCCCCAGCTCACAGCAACGGCAATAACCGTCAGAGCCGCGTTGTTTCCCCCTTGACCGCTTCCCCCAACTGACTCGGGGCTTTTTTTCCTTCCCCTTCTCCCTCGCGTCCTGCCAAGTCCTCGGCCGATGACCCCCACCAGCCCAGCGATGTGCCAGGGCATCCCTCTCCCAAACTGGGTACGCCGCCAGGCATCGACGCGAGCTGCCGGGGATCAAACATCCCCTTCCCGGGAAGGTCCCCCTGTCCCAGACGGGAGCTGGAGCTGGGTGGAAGGGGATGAGCTGCAAGCGGAGCATCGTCCGGAAGGGGAACTGGTGGGTTGGGAGACGTGGCGCTGCGCTTACAAGCGGCACAGCCAGGAAAGCCGCGCTCTGCATGGCCCCGCAGCCACCGAGGGAGGCGATTCCCACCCTGCCAAACCTCCCTCTTCGGATTCCCGTCCTCCCCTGGCCTCCTCCACTGTGCGGTGAGTGTCTCCAGAGGCTGCAGCAGCTTCCTGAGCCACAGCATCCCCCCCCCATCACCCCGACCCCTACGGCACCGGGCTGCCAGTGCTCTGCCGGGAGCGCACTTACTGGTCCCAGCTCAGCAGGCGCCTACAGGGTGAAACGCCGGGTCCTGCCCCAGGGATGGGACAACCCCGGCCGACGGATGGATCCCATTGGAAAGCCCACGAACGCACCCAGCAGAGACCTCGGCGAGCCACACTCCGAGCAGGAACAACTTTAATGGGCACAAGTCTGGTGTGCGGGTGCACTCATTAAACTTCTACACCATCCAAAAATAGACGTTCAACAAAATAACAAAAATAGATTATTTCAGCTGCTGGAGGGTGTTGCGGGGGCAGAGTTATTCTGTCTTCACTGAGGAAGGACCCTCTCGGTGACCACCAGCAAGGGCTGAAGATGGGGCCTTTCCCACTCATCATCCCTGGCCTCAGGGCACGAGAGGGGATGTCCGGAGGCACTGGGGACCCTGTCCCTGCCCCTTCCACTTTCTACAGCCCCTGCTGCCTGGGGAAGCAGCCCTCCCTCCTGCCTCAAGGACGCCAAGCCGAGGGATGCGCCGCTGCCCGGCAGGATGCGGTGGGTGGGAAAATTGGGGAGGGGGCCGGCAGAGGCGAGGGGCTCGGGGCGGCCGGCCCCGCTGCAGGTCCCTGGGCTCCTAGCAGCCCCAAGAGGTGGGTGCAGTAGCAAAGCGGACGGCGTCAGTCCTTCCCGCGGCCGTCCTCCGCACGGGGAGCCCCAGCACGGCACGGCGGGGGCAGTGCCTCTGCAGAGGTGGCTCTGGCTGCTGTTGGGCTGCAGTTTGACACTGTCGGAGCTGCTCTGCGAGTCAGGGGACTTTCTCGCCTGCAGCACCATGGTCCAGTACCAGAGGAAGATGAGGAAACCTGGGACAGGAGGGAGGAGTCATAGAATCATTTAGGTTGGAAAAGACCTTTAAGATCATCAAGTCCAGCCGTTAACCTAGCACTGCCAAGTCCACCACTACACCATGTCCCTTAGTGCCACATCTACACGTCTTTTAAAGACCCCCAGGGATGGTGACTCAACCACTTCCCTGGGCAGCCTGTTCCAGTGCTTGAAAACCCTTTCAGTGAAGAAATTTTTCCTCATGTCCAATCTAAACCTCCCCTGGCACAACTTGAGGCCATTTCCTCTCGTCCTATCGCTTGTTACTTGGGAGAAGAGACCAACACCCGAAGGGAAGGAAGGGTGGGTGAACCACCTCTAAGGACCAACAGCAGTCGAGAGCGAGCCAGCCAGCCTGCCAGGGATGGCTCGTACCCCCATCACCACCCCATCAATACCCCATAAAAGCCCCAGTGCCCTTTGGAGGAGCCCGGCATCCCAGGCATCCTGGGCCTGGCATCCCAGGCTCACCTTGGAGGGAGTTGATGATGGTGAAGATGTAGAGGGAGACGAGGCGGAAGACGCCGGAGGTGAAGGAGAAGAAGACCAGCACCCAGGGGATGCCCAGCAGGATGCTCAGCCCAAAGAGGGCTAGGACGTGCTTGAGCTTGTGGCCCTTCTTGTTCTGCCGGAGGATCTCCCGGATCATGGCCCCCAGCATGACCGAGTTAAAGAGGAACACCAGGCTGAACAAACCCAGGTTCACGACATTATGGATCATGGGGCTCGTGATCCAGCATCTGGAGAGAGGAGAAAGGGCAGAGGGTTATGCTGTGTCATCCCACAGGGACATGAATTGGAGGGGTTGGGGGAAGCACGAAGGTGTGGTGCAAACCCAGCGCCCAGCTTAGTTAAACAGGGAGGGGGAATCCCCCCCCACCACCCTGCACAAAGCCCCAGAAAACCCACAGGTGGGCTAAGGAAAGCCTGTAGGACACGATGAAGGTTTAGCCAGTTGACTTTATCTAAGACCAGGGACCAGACAACACATTTCCCATGACTTACATGGTTGCGTTGGTGGATTTGCCACCAACGGATTCATAGACGGGAATGGAGAAGGGGCCGTAGTTCGTCCAGCTAGCCAGGAAGATCAGCATCACGCAGAAGAAAGGGAGTCCTGGGTGGCAAGAACGAGTGAGGCGGCTGCCCTAGTGCCCAGCCCTCAGTCCTCCTGGAAGGTTTTGTTGCCCCTTTCTGCCCGTATAGAGTACAAACCAATGTCCTCCCTCCCAAGGGGGAACTGAGGATGGAGCATGCAACAAGGACGCCCGGCGTAAGCCCCGGCCCGGGAGCGAGCTGTGCTGCATCGACCCCAGCTGGGGGTCTCCCAGGGCCACGGAATTTTAGGCCACAAAAGATCATGAGATCTTCCTACCGCGGCTTCCTGCCCAAAGCATGGCAGAGACGCGTGGGTGCTTCCTGCATCAAGCCCAGGTCTCTGGGCTGTCCTGGATGTTTCTTTCAGAAAGAGAGGATCCCATCACTATTTAAAGACCCCAAGCAGTGGCTCTCACATGCCTCCCTTGCTGGGTGACCCACCCTTGCTCTAGCACCAGCTTCTGCTCTCAGCCACCAAGTCTCCTCCACCGAGTCTCTCAGCAGAGAGACCCCTCTGCTCTCAGACATCTGCTCCCCCACAGCTACGTCTCCATCCCCATCCAGGCACCACAGATGGTGGGAAAGACCTAGCGGGGTGCCCCTCCGCCCCCATTGCCCATGCCCTCAGGGCATCTCTGCCTCCCCCATGCTCACCCCAGCCCACCAGGCAGAGCTTGAGGAGGAAGCGGTCATGGTAGGCGTTGAAGACTTCGATCACAAGCCGGTACAGGTTGTAGCCCTCAATGCCCATCCAGGTGAGGCAGCTCAGGAGGGAGAAGTGCAGAAACAGCCCCCCGGCTCTGCAGACTGCCTCGCTGCTGCTGGAAGCCAAGTGCTCGGAAATGAGGAAGGTGATGTCCAGGAGGAAGATGGCACCCAGCAGGTTCATGTGGATGTGCATGCTTGTGATCTGGTCTCGCTGCTTGCTCCTGGAGAAGCAAGGAGGGGGGACACCTCACCACCATGCCTGGCCAGCATCCTTGGTGTCCTACAACACCCCACAGCTCCGCGTGGGGCAGCTCACCCTCGCCAGAAGAGCCAGGAGACCCTCTGGCTGAGAGCCTAACCCCACGGGTAGGACCACCCGTTACATGTGCAAATTCAGGCCCCTGCAGCTGACCCTGCATTTCAGGTCTAGGCCATGGGGGGTAGAGAGCGACATCATTTCAGCTCTGAATCATCCAGCGACATGACTCAGGAGAAGACACTCATGTTCTCCACCGGGCCCTTGAAAAGATCTTTGCAGGCTTCTGCTTGCCGGATCCATAACAACACCCAAGCTGATTTTCCAAAATCATTGAAAACAGCCGGCGTTTTCAAGCACCCTGCGGGAGACCTGACCAAGGGTGTGGTTTCTGGAGAGCAGAACTCTGCTTTCTTCAAGCATGGCTCCTTCACCATGCTTCTAGCCAGGACACCAACTGTGTTTGGAGAGCTTGCTCCCACCCAGGCGTAGTGGCAATGGACAGGACACAGACAGGGAGCGTGGGGTGATCTGTCAGACCATACCTGAAGTAGAGGAAGAAGATGGTGCAAATGGATGCCAAAGCTGAGATCAGGCAGCCGATGTAGGTTATGATACTCAGGTAATCCCTGTGTATGTAGGCGATCTCCGGGGAGGATACCTGAGGAGGAGGAGGAACGAGAGATGGTGAGGAAAAACAGCTGGTGGGAACGACGTAGAGAGCTGCGGGAAGGCGCTACCCACCATCAGCACGGCAAAGTAGGTGAGGTGGTTGCATCTGCAGTCCGTCCGGCTGTCCCCCGTTGCTGTTGCACAACCATAGCTGTCCCAGCTCCCAGAGCCGGCTGCGCAAGAGAAAGGGAGAGCGTCTGGTGAGCAGCAGGAACATCTGCTTCGGGTTTGTGGATCTTCAGGGCAAGGTGTCCATGGCAGGGGGGAGGACAAAAGTGGGGGTCCCAGTTTGTCCCATGCCAAGCACACACACTCAGATAGCACCCTCAGCACCAGGGCCCATCCCTAGGGGAGGGAGAAAGCTCTTAAATTGGATATGGAGGGGAAAACCTGAAATCAACCCCATGGGAAAGGTTTATGGAGCTGGAGCGAGGAAGGGAGGTGCGGAGCGACTTTCACTCCTACCAGCAGGTCTGTGGTACCCTGCAAAAGGAGCAAAGGCAGCGCCTGGCTTCACACCCAAGTGCAGGAGCACTCACCGGTGGGGTCCTCCTGCCAGAAGACGCACAGCGGGGTCACGTTCCTCTGCAATGACAAAACCATGGGCCCTGGTCAGGATGGAGCTGTGGATTTGTTGCCCGGACAGCACATTTGATATGGAAGAACATGGGGCAGGAGGCGAGACGGTCTCAGGAGACAAACCATCCCCTATC